AGAAAAAAGCATGATTAGTATTTAATATCATTTTTTAATTAAAAAAGTGTATATATTTAAACAATATATATGTGCAATCTAACAATAATTAAGTGCAATCCGTACATCACTATGGTGCACGATGTCGGCTTGTATTATGCAGATTGAACCGATTGATATTTTGTATCAAATTAAAAATGATCATAATTATTTGGTTTATTCGTATCGGTTAACGTAATTACCTATTATATTAAAATTATATTTATGTTCATAATATTATTTAATATTTTTAAATTATTAAATAATTTATTATTACTATTTTTTCCAAAACGACAGAATCAACTATTATAAAAACTCAAGCGAACCGAGTTCAAATACAAAGAGAACCAAGAAAATAATTTATTATTCATATTGTAAAAATATATATTTATATACTTTTAACATTCTATACATATATATTTATATATTCCAATTCATTTCGATCGTTACATACGTACGTTAAAGTACAATCTCAAATGCACAAAAGTGCAATATGTCCGTCATTAAGGTGCAATATGTAAAGTATTATTTTAGTATTTTATATTATTTTTATTATTAAAATTATCTATTAATTTAATATTTTAACGTAACATCTGCACCGATCGAAATGAACTAGAATATGTAAATATAAATATATTTATATATTCTAATTCATTCTTATTGGTACATATGTTATGTTAAAGTGCAACCTCAAATGCACAAAAGTGCAATATGTCCGTTATTAAGGTGCAATATGTAAAGTACTATTTTAGTATTTTATATTATTTTTATTATTAAAAATATCTATTATTTCAATATTTTAATGTAACATGTACCGATAGAAATGAATTGGAATATGTAAATATAAATATTTTTATATTCCAATTCATTCCCATTGGTACATATGTTGCGTTAAAGTGCAATCTCAAATGCACAGAAGTGCAATATGTCAGTCATTAAAGTGCAATATGTAAAATACTATTTTAGTGTTTTATATTATTTTTATTATTCAAGTTATCTATGAATTCAATATTTGATTTATTACATTATATTATTTTTATATTATTTTAATATTTTATATTTTTTCAATTTAATATTTTTGTTTTTACTTTATATTTTTTATTATTTGTTACTTTTAGAAACTTTTTGTAAATAACAGATTTGACACAAGTACTCAATTAAAATTAATTAAATTTCTAGAAATTGCACATAGGTCCTTGTATGTTATCAAATTTTCAAAAATTAATCCCTACATCCAAAAATTCAATTACACCTAAAAATAATTTTGCAGGTCTTGGTATATGTTCAGACACCTCCATCAGTTCACCACTTCCGGCAGCGCGACGGACGTCCTGTTGCAGACATCGGTCAATTGCGATGCCGGCGGGAACCGGGGCGACGGCGAGATGAACAGCGCTCACCTCTTCCGGCAGTGGGCTGGATACGACAGACGTCTGTTACGGACGTCGGTCAGGGCGGTACCGGCGGGATTCTATGCGACGGCGCCGTCGTGGGGTCTGTCTGTGATAACGTGCTGCCGGCGGATGTGTGTGTGTGAATGTGTGTGCACGACAGAGGGGTGTATTGTGCGTGTGAGA